ACTTTTTAATCAAGCTTTAGAATATTTTATATCAAGATTTCTTGAGTTTCTCATTGAGATGTTGAAATAAAGGGGATACATTTAATTGAACCTTCCAATCTTGCCATGTTCCTTTGGCTAATGTCCAAACTTCTTATCAAGGTATGTAAGGGCAGGTTCACAGGCCTCTATCTGGGGTTTGGGTCTGATCTGCCAAGGAAAGTTTACTGAAAGAGTTGAGACCCAGGTGCATATTTCTAGGATGGGTCTCTAGATTGCCTCATCCAATAGGAAGGTTCTCTCAAGAGTTCACCTTGGCATGTGTGTTTTCTTTCAATATATGAGCTACTGTTAATAATCAAGCCAGGGGCTACAAAAGGGTTGTTTTTTATAGCTGTACATGCATGGTATCTAGTTAATTATCTAAGGAAGGGGTGGGCAGTGTAAATTAAATGCGGCTTTGAAATTCAAGAAACAAAGATTCTGTGGTTAATGGGTTGAATACTTCCCTTTTCTTGAAGGGAAAAAATATTTTCTATACTTCCTATCTGGGTTTTGCTTACCAAAAAATATACACAGCACAGGAGAGTATGTGCATATTAATACTGAGGCTCACTGCAGTAAGGCAGTGCCACACCGACACTGTGGGTTTTGGGTCTCTTCCAAGCATCACATTAATGCACGTCTGCTCCAGCCAGACTTTGCCATCACACGAATTAGCCACTCTTGTCCCTGCATGCATGCCTTTGCACATAAAGCTACATCTGGTTGGATTTATTATCACCTATCAAAACCGAGCCTGTCCTCTCTGGAATTAATAATGCATTTTTGAGCATCGGTATGGTCTAATACATTATACCAATCGCTTGGGATTTATAGATAAATAAGATTGATTTCTGACTTAAGGGTATTTCCTAGTCTAGTTGGGGATACACGCGCACACACACACACACACACACACACACACACACACACACACTTAGCTATAATACGAGGCAGAATAGTCAAATGGCACAATAGTGCATAGGAATAAGAAAATGGGATGCTTGCACATAAGAGAAACTCATGGTAAAAATGGCCTTTGAGCTGTGTTTGAAAACAAGTAAAATATTAATATGGGCAAAAAGGAAGCAGATCATTAGAGCATGAGGAAAAATCATATGAAAAGTGCAGGTTTAGGAAATCGCAAATGTGTTCATGTCACAAGTATGGGACTAAAGGATAATAAATGGGAGATGGAGAGGTAAGTTAGAGCTTGACAGAGGAAGGTATGAACTGTATTCCAGATTTTGAAAGTAATCAGGAGACATTGAAGGCTTTTTGAGCAAGATGACATCAATTTTAGGAAATTTACAAATTTAAGGATTATTTAGAAAGGAGGAAGACTTATGAAAAGGCAGTGTTAACCATACAAATAGCAGGCAGACGGTAAAGATGTAAATTGGAAAGTCATTTAAAAGTTAGCCATCAGAGTTAGCCCTGTCACCAAAATGAATGTCTACCTCAAATAACATTGAGTCACAACTCAGTAACAGACAATAGGTGTTGGGAATACAAAGGTGAATTGAAGGTCATGGCACATGAAACAGTAATTATGTGGAATTATGAAGTGAGAGGTTTCAAAGACAGCTGAGGGGTTTTGGCCTTAGTGCTGCCACTGACTTAAAATAATAGAGGAAGAGTATGGATGGGATGAAAAAACAACAGTTACGTTTTCAACCAAATAGCAGCAGTACATAAAGGTGATGTACTATAGACCCTATAGACTGAAAATGCAGGTCTGGAACTTAGGGGAGAGAAGAAGATAGGAAGGTTGGGAGCCCATACGTCAGGAAATTATGGATGAATTTTCATTGTTATAAATTGAACATAATTAAAGCATAGCGATTAATCACAAAAACAATATGTAATTACATATGTGTTTTCCGATGGTCTTAGGCGACTCCTGTGAAAGGGTCGTTCGACCCCCAAAGGGGTCGCGACCCACAGGTTGATAACCACTGCATTAGTCTCTCAAATAATCGGTAAGCAATCTTCAAAATATCAGGGTCGCCCTGACAGGTGTGGCTTAGTTGGGCATCCTGTGCACTAAAAGGTTACCTATTCAATTCCAGTTTGGGCAGCTGATCTGTTTCACTCATATCAATGTTTCTCTCTCTAAAAATCAAAATATCTTTATTTATCAGGGTCATGAGAGATGGAATGTGTCACATAAAAATTAACCCAATGGACCCATGCTCCTGGTTTGTGTCCTTGTCCAATAAAGGACATTATTGGAACAATTGGCAAAATTTGAATGGAGTGGATTATGTGCTAGAAAGGTATGGATATGAATTTCCTGATTTTGGTGTGGTTATGTCAGAGCTGCCCTGTACTTAGAAATAAACACTGAGGTATAAATTAGTAATGGTGTCTGCAACTTACTCTGAAATTGGAGGACTCAGGCAGAGATATGTTAACAGGGATGACATAGGAGCTATGTGTACTATCCCCGTAATTTTTATATGTTTGAGATTGTTTCAGAATAAAAACTGTGTAAGAAGGGTGTAATTCACAGTATCAGGTACTACCAGGAGGTCACAGAGGACAGACAAAGATGGGTGGGTGGGAAGAGGGGGAGAGACAGTTGTGTTCAAAAATCAATCGGGCATAAAGACAAACGTGTTGAAATGAGAAAATCAGGGATTCCTGTGTTTGGGGTCTAGGACATGAAACTTATAACTCAAATCACTAAAGCCTTTCTCCTCTAAATTCCTACAGTAGTTATTATAATACCACAAATTCTGAATCTCAGATGTTATCCTATATTCTTCTTCTTTGAGGATTTTGTATACATCCCCAAACAGATGGTAATCTTCTCACAGGCAATGGTTATGTCTTTATACAGACTCTATGTTTACCCCAAAACCAGTCCCAGGGCCAGGCAGCCTCCAGATGTTCTTTCAACATGTACTAACTCGAGCTGATACCGAATGAGTACTAACTCGAGCTGATACCGCAGAGCTCCCTGTAGACCAGCATGTAGCTAGGTTGTCTCCACCTCAGTCCCAGATCTTCCTGCCCACAGGGCAGGTCTATGGGCAGCTATGAGCCCTGCACAAGAAAATAAATATTTAAAACTTGTGTTTATTAAAGGCAACACCAGTCACCCCTCTAAGAAGAATACAGCTCTCTATGTTTTGGATACATTTTACATTAACTCTTTTAATGCTATTCTCATTTCAGAGTAACAAAAAAATACAAATTCAGGTTAGGTTTAACCATTTGGAAGATACCATATTTCAACACTTCTTAAAAACATTCTACCTGGCAGCCAACACTTTGTTTGGACAAGTCTGTGAGTCTTCCTGGACCAGAAACAAACTCCTTATCAAAGGGAGAGACAGACGGGTGTCCAATCACTGTCATGCTGAAAAGCAGCCTGTTGTTTTACACGTCTCTACAGCTGATGTTCTCCAAGGCCAAGTAAACCCAGGCCTTCCACAGCTTAGCAATCTGGGCTCTCAACAGACCTCTACCCAACCTAGGCTCCTCAACTAACTATGCGGTCTTCTGGATTTAGCTGTTTCATGGGACTCCAAATAAATGAGGATATTGTGTCCAGGAACAGTCTTACTGATGGCATAATCCTCCCTGAGACAGTATTTAAATTTGCACCTGAAGTTTTCAACTGAAAATGAGGAATGAGTCAAAAAAAAAAAAATCAAGTGATTACAGTTTCTTTGTTTAATTGAATGAGAAAGTTAACATGTCTATACAACTAAGAAATAGTATGTATTTTATGGAGTTTGTGTTTTATTTTTATCTATTTGGTTATGGGTCCCAACAATAAACTAATGTGAAACATAAAGGATTGAACACATTTTGCAAGTATAATGTCTGCCCTCTGCCCCACCAAAAGTGATGCAAATTTTAGTTTCCCAAGTGCCACACTGGGCAGCTGGAAATAGCCTCTGTCCAATTCCAACATGCAGTCTCATGGAATTGCACAATGACTTCTTTGAGTTCAGAAAGGGGGTGAAACCGCAGTGCATTAGGCTTGAATGTCTCTGTATATGTGTGCATGTTGGGAGGCTAATAAAGTGGTAGGTCAGTCCCTAATTCAGTCTGGCTTTTTTTAATGCTACACTCTAGTGCCTGAAAACTTTTACTCTTAAGGAGGAAGGACTGTGTAACTTAGTAAGAGCCTAAGGCCAAAATGTCATTTTGCATACAAGGAAGTGCTGAGTTTGCTGTCAGCCAGGCCTTCTGCCTCCCAAGAGCCCACACTGGAGTTAATTCATATCCAGAACGTTAAGACTGTCAGCTGCAACTTGAAGAGAAGTATGACAGGTCAGGTCTTAGAAGGAGCCAGCCCAGAGCTGGAATTTGTTCGAGGAGGCATTGGGGGTTGGGTTTGGAGCTGAGCATATCCTTAGAGTCTCCACTCCATCACCTGCTCAGGCAATATCTCTCCCCTCTTTGAGCCAAGTCTTCTCATCCGTAAAATCCAGATATTTATGTCTTCCCAGCATATCCTACAGGCTCTAGTGGCCTTCAATAAATAATGGATATAAAAGTTCTTTTTAACCTGCAACTAACTTACTGTTTAAGTGTGAAGTATTGTCAAATTAAATCAATGAGCCATGTCATTTGAGCTAAAACTGGAAAGGAGTTTGCCAGACTGGAAGGGAAATTTCAAGCTGAGAGACGAAGTATGATCAATGTTGCAGAGGTACAGACATGTATAGCATGTTGGAATAGCAGGTCTTCCAGGGTGGCTCAGACCTGGCCAGGTGCCCATGGTGAAGCGACCAAAAGGAACTGCTAGAAGCGTTCTGAGAAGAACTTCTCAATATGAAGCCCTGGGTGTCTCATTAGAGACTGTGGGTGTTGTCTTGAGACAGGGAGTAATCAAAAGGCTTTTAATGGGGGTGGCAATAGAGGCAGGCAGCACGGTTAAACTTCCATAATGGGAAGCATGGCTATAATGTGTAGGATAGATCTGGGGCACAAGGGAAACTAGGGAAGTCTGAAGGCAGGAACATCAGGGGATGCTAGTTTTTAATCTAAACAAAAGCCTCTAGTGATCAATCTTACTTGGCAATCTGTCATCTTTGTTTCTTCATTATCAAATATAGCTGCCATATTGGTGAGAATGTGGTCAAGACAATGAGATCTTAAATCTACTGGAGTTGGACATCAGATATAGGGTGATAAGTACTGCAGACTCTCACACCAGTTGGGTCAGATGCCTTTCCATCCTCTACAGCCCAAAGCTAGAGGGTAAGGTTATCTTTGCAAAAATAATTCTTTGGGGGATTAAACTCCATTTATATTATTTGGAAGTGGACTCTAAATCTCAGGGTGGGGGAAGGTTGGTGTCCTCCCAGAAAAGTCACTTTTTAAAAAAAGCCAAACTGAGCCCTAGCTGGCTTGGCTCAGTAGATAGAGTATTGACCTGCAGACTGAAAGGTCGAGGGTCCGATTCAGATCAAGGGCACATTCCCGGGTTGCAGCCTCGATCCCCAGTGTGGGGTGTGCAGGAAACAGCTGATCAATAATTTTCTCTCATCATTGATGTTTCTATTGCTCTCTCCTTCTCCCTTCCTCTCTGAAATAAACAATAATATATTTAAAAAAATAAAATAAAGTAAAAAGCCAAACTGAATTAGGGACTGACCCTACCACTTTATTAGCTCCCAACATGCACACATATACAGAGACATTCAAGCCTAATGCACTGTGATTTCACAATGCCTTCATCCTCTTTAGCCCTGGCCAGGTAGCTCTATTGGTTAGAGCATCGTCCCGATACTCCAAGATTATGAGTTTGATCCCTGGTCAGGACACATACAAGAATAAACCAATGGATGCATAAATAAATGGAACAATAAATCGATGTTTCTCTATCTATGTATCTCCTTCCTTCCCTCTTTTCCTCTCTCCCTCCCTCTACTTCCCTTCCTCTCTCTAAAATCAATTTTTAAAAAAGGTACTCTAAAAGTTACATTTACCTAGTTGGTCTCTCTCTTAACCTTTTAAAACTTGGACTCTGGAGTATAAAATAAAAAGGAAGTGAGCCGAGCAGCTGAGCCCAGATGCCCAAACTGAAACCCAAGTTCCCCTCTGTTGAGGAGCTTGAGGGTCAAAGTAAGTCATGCCATGAGCTCCTCCCAAGAATGCTTGGATATTGGTGTGATATATATGTTAATGTTTCAAATGAGTACTATAGCCTTGAAAGAGAAAATTTGCTTGGTTGAGACTACATAGTAATATGAGACCAGCACTACCAGCCCTGCCAGCCCTGCGGGTCTCAGCCATTGCTCTTCAGTTTGGTGTCATAGGTCTGAACACTTCATGTATTCTTTTTAACAATACAAGGCAGATCCTTTTATTAAGTGCATAATGTAGTAGCAGACACATTTGTGAAAATACTAATAGAAGCAATGGTAGTTAGTAACTCTGAGAATGATTTCAGATTATGAAGGAAGAATAACACTGCAGATCCAGGAAAGGGACTGGCTGGCAGGGTCTTTGGCCGACTCTGTGTCCACTAACTCTGAGCTCCTTTCCTCTGCAGCTGTCTGGGGCCATGTCTAAGTGTGTTCCAGCTCTCTAGACTGCCCACAAGAATGCCACTGGCTCAGAAAAAGGGAGGGGCTGATGGTGGTAACTGAATCCATTTTGATGGTGATCTACAGGAGACTGATGTCATTCATTGGAAACTTCAACCAGCTTGGCCATGGGCGGGTTGGCTTTTGAGACTTTTTTTGGTGTGTAAGTATCTCACCCAGAGGTATGTTATTACTGAAGATTTCATTTCAACCCACTCTATTTTTGGATATTTTCACACACAAAAAACATCAACAAATACTTTTAAATAATATTGTTACAGAAGACGGAGAAAAAAAACAAGCAACGCTTAGAGAAAGGGAGTTACATTTTATTATAATTATGCGTAGGCCCAGAGAAAAATGTATCTTTCAAATTCTGGGCCCCCAACATGGAGGAAGCCTTTCCTATTTATACTTTTTCTAGTTCTTTGTCTTCCAAATTTGGAATGAGACTTCCAGACTTTCTTAGAAAGAAGGCCTGCATGCTGGGAAGGGGCCATGAGACCATATCTCAAGGTCCGGCCTTGTGCCAGCACTGACAACTCTGTCTGGGCCATAGTTTATGGCCTGTCTGGAATGGGAGTAGTCTTATTTTTCTATTATTTAAGCAAGCAAGCATTTACAGAAGCCAAAATAGCAGGGTTAAAATTTCAAACAGCAGTTTTTATATAAGATGGATTCTTCAGTATTACGTGATTTTGAATATTTGGTATCTCAGGAACTCTGAAATTTTTATTGGACTGATGGATAGCCACTTCAGACCTCATATAAGAATGATCAAACTTTCTTAAAACTGGAGAATAGATACTGCTGAGTCCATGGAGCAATGTAATCATATAAGGGTCTGATCATGACTTCATGTATTTTTAACCCCAGTGAGCAATATCCATTCCTCCTACCGTTCTTTGCCCTCTTAGTCATGAGCCTCAGCTCAAGAATGACCTTTAAATGTTTCCCCAAACTCCTCTCAAGTGACCAGAATTTGCCTTAGGCTCTAGGGTAATACTTTAGTAGAGAAGTTCCAAAAATACTTCACAATGGTGGTATTAAGGAAATATATGCCTTCTCTAGAGGCTAATCCTCTCTGCCTATTTCTATACTGGAATGTTCCTTTTAAAATTAACAGCCACACCTCTCTGCAGTGACACTCCCTTTGGATATTGAATACACTGGTATATGTGACATTTCCTCTTTTATGCTTACACAATGACTTTAACAGCTATGAGTAACTGACTGCACTGGCCCGGATGGAATGTGTGACTTCCTTTCACTGATTGGGGAACTGCTCCTGATAGATTTGTCGTTCATCGGTTGGGCTCCTCTAGCCCTTTGATTTCATTTCTGATGTATTTGTCAAATTATGATTACTTATTTACCTCCACTAGACCATAAGGTTGGAGTTACCTTGCTTCTTGCTAGTTTGCCTCTGCTATACAGTCCTGCCCTGGGGCCTAGCGAGTAGTGGGTGCTCAATGTTTGTTAAATCAAATGAATTTGTCTTGAGAATTCCTCAATTTTTATGGCCAGACACTGGCAGCTTTCTCAGAAACACGAGTGATCAAAACCACCTAGGCTTCCATCTGTACTAAAATAAGCATTTTACCAATTTCATAGAAAAATATTTGTAAAGCACTTGCTAAATACAGAAGTTCATGTAATTAATAACTGTGAAGAGAAAAAAATAGGAGGTGCTGGATATAGAGAGACCTTTCAGAAAATATTTCCAAGTTAGGCATATTCTGAGTTACATTTTTCCATTTTTTTACAATCTTAACAGTTTTTCTTCTTTTAAGCTCCAACATAACCTGCATACTAGAGTTGTGTGTGTTTTCCACCCCACCCTAGTTGCTATAGCTGATGAATCATAGTCACCAGAGAAGGGAAAGACCAGTGAAATCATCTGGCTCATCGCCTAATTAGGGAGTGGACCATGGGATTTGGAGAAGACTAACCTCTCATTTAAAAAGAGAGAGAGAAAAAAAAACAAAAAACTACAGCCAGAGCTGATTAGAGCACCTCACCAATCTGTTTGTCTTTTGCTTCTAGCATAACGCTGAGATCTACCCTATTGGAAGTAATCAGGAATTCTGATCAAGGGCCCCAGGAAAACCAGATACTAAAGTGTTAAAGGAGTAGAGCTCAATGTCTACTCCCTGAGTAATGAAGTTGGATTATGAACCTTTCCGTGGTTGTGTTAACCAAGTCTTATAGAATCTGAGACTGTTTTAGGAAGACTACACATTTAAGAGCTAGCAAGGACTTTACAGATGTCCTGGGCTAAACTGTCCTGTTCCCAGATGCAGAAAGTAAAGAGAGAGATGTCAAGAGATTATAGGTGTGCCTAGGCCAGGAGTACCTGTCGATCCGTCTCTCTCTGCTACAATCACACAGTACAGTAAAACTTTGGTATAACGGACTAATTCCGGCGAACGTCCGTTATATAACAAAGCTGGTCTTCTGAATGCGTATGTTAAAAAAATGGACAAATTAGTTCGTTTACCTGCTTTTACTTGTGTAGACATGTTTGTGTAATTAAAATTATGTATGAAAACTTTAATTTCACAGAAAATTTTTCTATATGTATTACTTTAATTTTAAATTTATCCTGAATAGATCTAATAAATGCATACATTCAACAGTCACTGAGAGTAAACAAATGCACACGGCTGGGTGTGGCTTAGCACATGTGGGAACATCTGCTTGCAGGCATTCAAACTGCTGCAGAAAGTCACGCCACGTGAAAACAGAACCAGTTATTGTGTCCAATGCAGTGTGATCACGATCTAATCATTCGCCCAACGTTGTTTAAGAGTGGCGACTCTTACATATGTAGACTATAGTTGTAGATATGTAATATTTATTTATGTCAGAAAAATTACTGCAGTATTTTTTCCAAAATATAGCCTGTTCACTAAAATTTGTTAAAAATAACAGTGAATTAATAACAAAAAATAACCTACTAATTTAATTATAAGCAAATCTTGATTGAAAGCATTTTAAAATTAACAGGGTGTTAATTTTCACATATGACAACAGGATGGGAAGAAATTTTGTCTGTTAAATCTGAAGTCCATTAAATCGAGGTCCACAAAATGGAGGGTTTACTGTATCCTCCTCCTCCTCCTTGTTCTCTATTATGTTGTTCTTTCAAGAAATAGCAAAGCTGATTTAGCATCCTCCATATTCCCATGTCAATCAAGCCTGACCCCCAGGCATCACTTGTCCTTGAGCCACAGAGACAAGGACACTTTAGCCCCACTTGCAGCCCCTCCACCATTTTCCTTGCATCCCTCGGACTTGCTTCTGTACTGTTCCTGCTGCAGAACCATGTCTTCATCTGCTCAAACTCTGCTCCTGTCTTTTGGACTTTTTAACAAATCATAGTGTCCTTAGCTCCTCCCTTGGTACTTAGCTTAGCTCTCCCCCAGCTTCCGATGTCCTTTCATAGCATCCCTGCCCCAACTCTAGCCTCTCGGGTTGTCAAACTGGCACGATGCTGCCTGCTTTTTGCCGGTGCCCCCTTACAGTGAGGAGGGATGTTTGTGCCGCATGGATAGTGATAGCATCTACATTCTTGTGTCCCCAGAGCAATCTCTGTATCTCGTGACCTGAGTGTTATCACAGGTTCACATTATTAGAAGTCTAAGTTCTTTTGCAATATTAGAGATATTCAATAGTTGCTGTGGTTTATTTGTATAATATTCTGGACAGCCTCATTTTACTTTAAAGTGATATTTCTTGATCGCAGCTCTACATTTGAATAATGTAGGAACTAAAACCATGCTAAGATCCCATGACCCAAAGAGTCTAAATTAAAGTAACAATTTTATGTGGATATTTTCAGTTTTACAAGGGATATTCATCCCATTTTGGACAAAAAGAAAAATGGAACACAGAGACATCAGGTCAATTATATTTGATAAAAATTTTTTCTTGATCTACTTGTAAAGAGATATAATTTAGTAATTCAAAGTAATTCCATTTAGAAATCCCATTGGGCCTTTTTTAATGAATAGATAAAACGTGTTTATTTTGGTAACATCCATTTGCATGTATACAATTAATGTACCTAAATCTATTAAATTTGCATATTAAGGACTATTACAGCTAAAAGGGAACTTGAAGATTTTTCTCATTTTTGCCCCACCCGTATGGCTCAGTGGTTGAGCATCGACCTATAAACCAGGAGGTCACAGCTCCATTCCTGGTCTGGGCATATGCCATGGTTGTGGGCTCGATCCCCATGAGGGGGTGTGCAGGAGGCAACCAATCAATGATTCTCTCTCATCATTGATGTTTCCATCTCTCTCTCCCTCTCTCCTACTCTCCAAAATCAATTAAATATATATATCACTCTCATTTTCCAGGTAAGAAACCTACCCAGAGAGCCTAGGTCAAGCATGTCAAACTCATGGCCTACAGCCCGCATGCAGCCCACAATGAATATTTTTGTGGCCCAGCCAATATAACGGTATGTAAGAAATGTTTTAATAAAAATTTCATAACTTAACTTTTACAATATCCTGTTATGCATAATTATTAATAACGAACTACAACGTTCGCTAGTGACTGATTACAATAATCGTGTTGCATTCATTTCCCTTACGCGCCTTGCGTGCAGGCGCACCATTTCTCTCCACTAATACTAGCAGCGAATATCTTAGCAGCCGATGGCCATGTCATTAGCCTTGGACTAACTTGTTTGGTGTGCACAACAGGAACTATTTCGCTTTCAGAGAACAAGAAAAATAGGCTTATTTGCATTATGCTTATTAATTTGTGCAGTTATTCAGTGTCTGGTAAGTTAATGTTCAAGAAAAATATTAATTTTTATTAAGATGTTCTATTATTTTATGTTAACAATTACTCATTTATTTCAGCCCTTTGTATTCAGCATGTCTCTATTGAAATAAACCTACGTTTCTATGAAAATTGAAGCTTTTGTGTTTTTTTGCGGCCCACATAAACTTAAACCTTGTTTATTTGGCCCATGTTAGCCTTTGAGTTTGACATGCTTGGCCTAGGTGATTTGTCCAAGTACACCCAATTAGGATAGGACCAGAAGCCCTGCCTCCTGAGATCTGTGTTTATTAGCACAGGACTCAGGAATAGAGCACAACCCAACAGTCAGGTCTCTGAAGATGCAGAGCCTGTTATGGCTTCATACTGAGTGAGGAGCTGGGGTTGCAAAGATGAACAGAAGCTCCCAGTCCGAGGGTACAGCCTGACAATAACAGTCACAGTGCCATGAGATAAGGATGTACTACAGGTAAGACAAAGTTACATGAGTAACAAAGAAGCCCTTCCCCTACACCTCATGCAACAATCCATCATATTTATTATATTAATTTGCTTATCAAACCTTTCCTTTCAAACATTATGTGAACTATGTAAGATTTGATCCCACTTAGGTTGCATTATCATATATTATTAGAGGAATCAAAACCAAATGAAATTTTACTATATTTAGTGTTTTCTTTGTTGGCAGAGGGTGCTATGATATACAACTTGTCCTCTGTAGTTTTTAAACTGTGTATTATAGGATATATATGAAAAATGTCATCCAGAAAATTAAAGTTTTCCCTAAAGCCTGGCATGGACTGTCATAATCTTAATTTGTAAGAAGGAAGCCTTTTTTATACTAGCTATATATCTTTTGTCAACTGTTTAAAAATTATAGATGTAATATGTATTCATTGTTAACAAAGCTTAAATAATATTTTTAAAAGTGTATATAATAAAAGGTGAACATTCTCCTTTACACAAATATATCATTTTCTTCTTTCCCCAAAGTAACCAATATCAGTTTGGTGTATATCCTTCCAAATATTTACATATATGTGTATATACATATATACACCAACACACATATGTAAATGTACATAACATAAATATTAATATAAATAGAGTCAAAATAGCCATATTAGTCTAATTGATTGTTATTAACTCAGCCAACATAAGAGTTTTAAAATATCCAAAACACTCCACATATATTTAATGGTTACTTAATAAAGATGAAAACATTCAAAGTATAGCTACCTTTGTGTGGGCATTTTCATACTCACACTACATATTTTATTTTATGAAAAATACTGTCCTCTTTTGAGAAAATGCTTATAACTAGGAGATGTATCTTTTATTACAGAATTCAAATTTTCCCACTGATAGCAGACACTGAGCACTTAAGTATTTGTACATTTTTTGTGCAACATTATGTGGAAATGCTGCTTAAAGACATAATAGAGGCTGGTAGAGTTTGAAATGTTCATCCTCTGCTTTGCCAAACCACAAAAATGCATCCAGTGTTCTGAGGTAAGAACTCAGATGCTGAGGGCTCAGAAAGCATCCCAGTATCCCAGCGAGTGCATATGTAAATGATCACGATGCAGTGGGCATTTTTAGCCAAATTTATTTTCATAATGTTTTTTATCAGCTTTACCACACACGATGCCAGCAAGACACAATCTAGCCCACATTCTCCTTGTCCTTCCACTTAACACTATATTTTTAAAATCCGTCCATGTCGGAACATATTGATCTATTCCATTCTCTTCAGCAGCTTCAGGCCATTGTACTGTACACATTTTTCCATAATTAATTTTAATTTGGCCTCACTCATGAGCACTAAGGGTCTTTAAACTTTAAAAGGCTGCAGTAAACATCCTTATACACATTACTGTTGTGGTCATGTCTGACACTCTTCAGGATAGCTTTCTAGAAGCAAAGTCTCTGATTTCAAGGACATGGACATCTTAAACATTGATAGATACTACTGCATTGCCTTCCCACCATAGCATGTGAGAATTCCCAACTCACCCATTTCCAATGGCACTGGATACTATCAACTTTTTAATTTTTGGCAGGTGAGCATAAGGAGAAATGAGAGCAATGTAGTGCATTTGTGGAGAGAAGTCCAATAGTAACAGGTACTGGAAAGACGATGTCAGCACAATAGGAAACAAGCAAATGCCTCTCCTTAGGGAGCTCCTGCCTGGTTACAGAGACCAATAAATAAAATACAGTGGGGCCTTGACTTACGAGTGTCCCCACTAACGAGTTTTTCGAGATACGAGCCGTCTCTCGGCTGATTTTTTGCTTTGAGTTGCGAGCTAAAATTCGGGTTACGAGTCAGCTTCAGATACCCCACCGCTAGTTGGCGCAGCGAACGTCACAGTGAACGCCACAACATCAGCCCAGCATCACGTGTCTCACTCGTTCACTTTTTGATTTGACATACGAGTAATTTGAGTTATGAGCTCCATCACGGAACGAATTAAACTCGTAAGTCAGGACCCCACTGTACAACGATGCAAGGTGACAACTGAGAAAGGAGAGGTTTATGAAAATTGCAAAGAGAAGCAGATTAGAGCCACATCTGCCTGAAGGGCTTGGGAAAGGCTTTCCTTCATGAGAAAATAATATTTGCTCTAAGGCTGAAGATGAGGCAAGGTTCACCATTGAGGAAAACGGGAAAGGCATTCCAGGCAGGGGAACAGCATGGAGAAAGGCATGGAGCGTGAATGTGCTTGGCAGTGGTGCATGATGGGAGTGAGGGGGAAAGCTGTGGGAAATAAGACCACCAGGTAGGTCAGACCCCATAGAAAGGGCTTCAGGGAGGAGTCATATAATCAGAACTATTTTTTTAGAAAGGTAATTCTGGATGCCTGTAGAGCAAGAATTGAAACAAAAGTATCAGGTACAGCTGGGAAAGAGAGGTTGGAGCCACTGCACTTGTTTCCCTGAAAATAGACATTGTGGTTTGTCCACACCAAGAGCACCTTGTAGGATTTCAGTCATGATATCTTAATTCAACAATAGTTTATTGAAAAGTTTACCATGAGTTCAGCAGGGCTAGATGCTGAAAACACCCAAAAACTAATGAAATAACTGCTGTTTCTTCAACACCTACCAGGCACTTTTTATACCTTGTCTAATCTTTACAATGGTCATGCCATACCACAAATTATAAAACAGGTTTTCAAAACTCCACCTGGCCAGGAAGAAGCAGAAACAGAATGAGAACCTGGGACCAGCTCAGTCCAAATCCCATGTGTGTTCACTCATTCTCTGATTATCTTTCCCCACCTCCCTCCCTCCTTTCCTTCTTTCTTTCCTTCCTCTTTTAATTTTTATCTTTAGCCAAGTTATATGTGTGAATATTTCTAAAAGCCACATATTTACATAAGAAGTCTATATAATTGTATATCAGTTAGAGTTAAATTTGTTAGTAACAGAGACTGGAAATAAGTAATTTAAATAAGGTAGAAATGTGTTTTTCTTTTATATAAAACACTAGAGGCCCGGTGCACAAGATTTGTGCACTGGGTGAAGGGGGGGGGGTCCCCTCAGCCCAGCCTGTGCCCTCTTGCAGTCTGGGACCCCTCAGGGGATGTCTGCCTAAGCCAGCAGTCAGACATCCCTCTCACAGTCCGGGGCTCTCACAGTCTGGGACCCTTGCTCCTTACCCCCTGCCTGCAGCAGAGGCAGGAGAGGCTCCCACCACCACTACTACGCTTGCCAGCTGTGAGCCTGGCTTCTGGCTGAGTGGTGCTCCCCCTGTGGGAGCGCACTGACAACCAGGGGGCAGCTCCTGCATTGAGCGTCTGCCCCCTGGTGGTCAGTGTGCGTCATAGTGACCAGTCATTCTGTGGTTCGGTCGATTTGCATATTATGTTTTTATTATATAGGATATCTGAAGGAAAGCAGTCCAGGGTTGAATTGATGATTTCACAATCATCAGGGAAATGGTCTCCTCCTAACTTTCCTCCTGTGCTTTTGTTTTTATCCTCAAGTTTTTGGTTTTTCATCCTTCGTGCCTACTTTCCATCTTCTAGTTTCCCTCAAGGTCCATGGTAACGGAGAGAGCTCCAGCCATCACATCAAGTAGTAGGTAAAGGAAATAGGAGGAAATAAGGGGCGGGAGGAAAGCTATGTCAACTGTTTTCTCTTTAAAGTGGTTTTATTGAAACTGTACCTTATAAATTTCATTGGCTTCTTCTTGGCCAGAATTTAGTTAAATCAACACATTTAATTCCAAAAGAAGTTGAAGACTGTAATCTTTTAGCTTAGTACATGCTAGCCACTGGGGGAAAAAACAACACTGTGTTTGTTGCTAAGGAAAAAAATAAAAATATATGTTGAGTGGGGAATTCATACTTTCTTTCATAGCTCACACACACACACACACACACACACACACACACACACTCACTCACCCTCACTCCCAGATAGCAGTTACCTTGATCCACAATACCCACAATTTCTGCTCTCCAAAGCCAAAGATTTTCAACACTTGTAGCTAATTTCTTACGGAGATTCACCAATATATTTCTAAATAACATGCCAGTGTTTTCTAATTTCTCAGTTTTAAATAGCATCTATTGTCTACTATGAAAAATACATCTTTTTATATACATACCCACATACTCTAAAAATGGTTGCATCATTTTTGTCT